TTTTTTGTTTTATTATGTTTTATACTTAAAAGCTTTTTTTATTTATACAATATTTCTAAAGTCATAGACGTACATCTATGTATTTTGATATTTACATGTATGCTATATGCATGGGTATACTTGCTATTCTTATCGAATGTTTATGTGTAGGACTAGAATGAATATATGCATATATGCATTATTCTTTTTAAATTGATTTACGCCGAATTGTTTATTCTTTTATAAGATTAAAAAAAGTGAGAGTTGTTACACGTAAATATGCTACATTTTAAAGGAAAAAATTTAACAAGAACTAATCGACGAAAACTATTTGCAGCGTACACACAAGTAAATTAACTTAATGAATAATTAGTGTACTGATATTTACGCAAGCTATTATACGCACGCACACTTACAGCTTATACAACGAGTATTAGAGACTAATTGTAGAATGTATCCGTGTTTTCAATTTGTCACTCACTTTCTTTCTCTCTCTCTCTCTTTCTTTCTTTCTCTCTCTCTCTCTCTCTCTCTCTCTCTCTCTCTCTGTCCTTATCCGATACTCAATCAAATGATAAACGGAGAAAACAAACGTTAAGTTGGAATAGAATATGCATAAATGCAGCAAAAATTCTTTTAATATTAGTTTGTTATATTTCCACCTTTTATGTAACAATTATAGAATTTTTCTTTTATTGTCAATTTCCTCTTTTTTGTTGTAAATTTTTTTGTAATCTACATTCCTTTTATTTTGCAGGCTACTTTCATGCAGACTTTGTACCTTTTTACGTCACAAAGGGATTTCTACACGTTTATGTGTTCGAAAATATTATGAATTATGGGATTGAAGTGAAGGGCAGTCACTGTCCGCATAATCGAATTTCTTTAATAGCCCTAGTTTTTCAAAAGATGAAGCATAGGAATAAATTATCATATTGTTTCTAAGCATAAATTGATGACAAACATCAAGTAAATTTGGAACATAAAATGTTGCGAAATAGTTATGAATACTAGATAATGTTTAAGTAATGTTTGATTATTAGAATCTAAACGAGGTAGTTTAAATTCATGTGTTCGTTTAATTCGCTTGTATGACGCGTATTCATCTTCATGCCTTCACCGAACAACGGGTATATATTCATAAACGTTTGCAATAAGTTTGCAACAAATGGAAGGAAACATCAGATCATCATGTTCTAAACTGATTTCGGTACGTCCATTTGTCCGTGGTAAACGTTCTCTTGGTTGCAAAAATTAAACTATCGGCTTCAAATTTGGCAGAAACATTTCGAAGATCATGCCCATAGGTTAATATTAAAAATGAGCGAAGGGCCTAACGTAAACTGAGAACGCACACGCTTTGTGTGCGTTTTTTTTTGCTAATTATTCATAAATTAAATATTCTACAAAAAATGTGAAAGTTAGGCATGCGTACTCAGTATTTTAGAGATTGGAAATTTAGTCTTACCTTCTTTTTTTATTCCTTTTTTAGGGCAAAATTGGTGACTATTAAAGGTACGGACACAGTCGAATATGACTTTCTTACTTGTTCTTTTCGTCTTTATGGCTTATTTTGCCTTTTCGAAAATACAAACATGAAATGGATCAAAATGGACCTTTTCGCGTGTTTAGAATGCGATTGAATATCTTACACGCCTCGCAACTCGATAAATACTTCCTGAACCAACGAGTTTCAGTTCTCAGCTAGTGCATGAAACTTCGTACATTTGCCATTTATTCGATTGGGCCAACAATTTTACGAATTAGATATGTTTTTGCAAAAGCAAATCGCTGTAGGTTACTTCGGATTGTAATTGTGGACGAATGTTTCATCTGATTTAGATGCATGAATCGCACACGAAATTTGTGAAAATATATTTAATTTTGAATTTAAATTTTCCGAAACGCAAAAGAAGGCTTTCTTTTGGTTCATTTTGCATAATTTCCATTGCACACGCTCACAAATGAGCAGGTGTGAATACGTGTATATAAGACCGCTATGATAATGTGGATGGTTCCATAGCTGTCGTTAGTCCTTCAATTTAAAAATTCTAAATTTTTGTTTTTAAATTTTATTTATTTTCGTTTTTAATCGCTAATTAAATAAGTAAAATCAAAGAAAAAACAAATGAAAGCTTCATAGTTGTCCACGGCCCATAATTAAATATGTTGAACCACTTCGCTTAATACAGTAATACATATGACGTCTTTTCAAAATAACGCGTTATATGAGATGTAATCGAAATAGCGGTCTAATCCGAACGATTTTCAGTAGCGCCCGCCCTCGAGCCAAAACACGTCGGTATAGTAAATTTCAACAAAATGTCTCTAAAATAGCGATTTATGGGCTAAACACAAGCATATTAGAGGAACAGGTGGACAGACAAGCTTAACTGAATTAAGAAAATTATTCTGAACCGATACGTATAATAACGGGTAGGTCTATATCAAGTCTTTCTGAGTAATGTGTACATCCGAACAAATTTCATGAAACATTGCACAACAAGTAGTGTAGAGTATAACAAACAAGCTAAGACGGCGCAAAATGAAATAATACATAATATGTATAAGAGGATTTCGTTCAACTTTTTATTATTACTTGACGAATTTTTGTATCCAGCAATCAAATAGATAGTTGCAGTTGTCTTATATTCTATTTTATAAAAGAAAACATGCTAAATTTGACCAATTCATTGTTCCTATTTACTTGCTGCCCTTTCATCTAGAAAAATTCAATGTCGGAAATTGTTGGACAAGCATTTTAAATGTATTTAAATTTAGAAAGTCATTACTTAACTTGCATTCACATACAATTTAACGTAAAGACTAATGTCGTATATAATGTTATCCATGTGTACATATAGATGAGTTTCTAAATGATTTTAATAACAGATTTAAATGACTATTTATAGGAATTGCTTGTGAACGTCTCTTCATCCTATTTATTATAAAAGATCTTCACATTGTTTTCAAAAGACTTTTTCATCCTTTGTCTTCGACAAAATGACAACACTATATATGTATATAAACATATACATGAGAATATAAATAAATGATATATATGCTTGTATACATATACTGAAATGAAATGTATATACCGTGGCACGATTTTTGGCTTGATTCATTTGTTTTTTTATTTTCTTCTTTCAATATTTTGACCAATTTCTAAATAAAAATAACGGACTCTTTCCAATTAAAGGTTAAACAATCAATTATTGGTATTAGTAGTACAATAGTTTTAATTTTAAAAGTTTTAAGTAGTGTTCTTTCTAATTTCAGGTAACATAACATTGTTGAAATACAGCTGTGTTGTTAGAAAACCACCTTTTGGACAAAATGTTGGGACTCGCACGCACCGCTCAAACGGGTGTTAAACCCCAAGTGGCCGCTCTTATCAAACACTCTATGAATCCCAATAACCTTATGACGAAATCGCGTAGTATTAGCTCTGTAATGCCGGAAACGAAAGTTCCGGACTTTCAGACTCAAAACGAACCGGTCTATGACTACAATAAGGGTTCACCAGAGCTAAAAGCGTTGCAAGATGCTCTCAAGCGTACCGCCGCTAAATGTGAGGAGGTGCCAATAGTGATTGGTGGTAAAGAAATGCGTTCTGATAGAGTTGTTCATCAAGTTATGCCACACAATCATGCCCACAAACTGGCTAAATTCTATTATGCCGACAGTAATATGATTAAGCAGGCTATTAAAACAGCAGTTGAAGCTCAACCTAAGTGGGATCGGGTACCGATGTCAGAACGTGTAAAAATTTGGGAAAAAGCTGCGGTGTTAATGGCTGGAAAATACCGTCAAGAATTAAATGCAGCCACCATGTTGGGTCAATCAAAAACTATTATACAAGCTGAAATTGATTCGGCTGCTGAACTAATTGATTTCATACGGTAAGATTGATGGCGAAGGCTTTTTCAATAGTGATGTCGTTTAAATAGATTTCATCAAAATTATTCCAAATTTCAGTTTAAATGCATTTTTCATTAAGGAATGCACCAAATATGATCCTATAAGTCCAGATCCAAAGGTAACCAGAAACTCGATGCGCTATCGTGGCATTGATGGTTTCATAGCTGCCGTTAGTCCTTTTAATTTCACAGCTATCGGCGGAAATTTGGCCTATACACCTGCTTTAATGGTAAATATTTTTCCTTTTTTTTGTTAACAAATTCTTAATTAATTTACTTCTTAAAATTTAAATAAACGAACGTCAGGGAAATGGTGTTTTATGGAAACCTTCAGATACAGCTTTACTTTCCAACTGGCGTATTTTTAACGTTATGCGTGAGGCTGGGGTACCAGACGGAGTTGTTAATTTCGTACCCGCTGATGGTCCAGTCTTCGGTGACACTATTACAGCCTCTCCCCATTTAGCCGGTATAAATTTTACAGGCTCTGTACCGTAAGTCAAAATTTGAAAGAAGGATTTACTTTTTATTTTTATATACTTCGTCGTTCCAGTACCTTCAATCGCTTATGGAAACAAGTGGGCAATAACATTGACAGCTATGTAAATTTTCCCCGTTTAATTGGTGAATGTGGCGGCAAAAATTTCCATTTTATACATCCTTCGGCCGATGTTCTCTCTGTGGTTAATGGTACCATACGATCCGCTTTCGAGTTCTGCGGTCAAAAATGTTCCGCTTGTTCGCGAATGTACGTTCCAGAATCTTTGTGGTCTAAGGTTAATAAAAAAAATGCAAAATTCTTAAAAATATTGTTGAAAGGTTACTTTTAAAAATTAGGTTAAAGACGGTCTCGTCGCTGAAGCTGGTAAACTGAAAATTGATGATCCTACCGATGTTACCACTTTTACAGGCGCCGTTATTGATGATAAAGCATTTAAACGCATCACTGGGTACATTGAACACGCCAAAAATAGTTCGAATTTAAAAATTATAGCTGGTGGCACCTATTCTGATGCCAAAGGTTATTTCATACATCCTACAATTGTAGAATCTAAGGATCCTAAAGACAAAATCATGACTGAAGAAATCTTTGGTCCTGTTTTGTCATGCTACGTTTACAAAGATTCTGATCTCAAAAAAACCATGGAGTTAGTGCATAAGTCAACGAAGTTCGCCTTAACCGGTGCTGTATTCGCTCAGGACGAGTGAGTATTCAACAATGTGTGAATTTCATTTTTATTGTAAATCTCTAATTGTATTTTTCAAACGTAGGGCTTTCTTAAGACAAGCATTAGAAGAATTTAAAATGGCGGCTGGAAACTTTTACATTAACGATAAGTCAACCGGTTCGGTAGTGGGACAACAGCCATTTGGGGGAGGTCGTATGTCAGGCAAGTTCAAAAGTCAAATCTTTTGTACATTAGAAACTTATTTTTGAAATTTTTTACTCAGGTACCAACGACAAAGCTGGCGGACCGCATTATGTCCTACGTTGGGCTTCACCTCAAGCCGTCAAGGAAACATTCGCGCCATTGCGTGACATAACCTATCCGTACATGAAGCAGTAAACCTTTTAAAATTAATACTAAACTCTCGAAATCATGTTAAATTAATCTCAAAGAAACAAATGAAGAACAAAACAACTCGAATAAAAATATTTTGAATTTTTTTTTAATTGTTAGTTTGAATATAGTGAAAAGCAGTGGAAAGAAATGATAATAACACATATATTATAAAGACACATATTTATATGCAGACAAATATTTATGTATGTATTAACGTCTCTAAATGTGTTACATATTATATAAATTAAATATAAATTAATAAATACATAAATAAATAACAAGTAAATAAATCAATAAATAAATATGAAAGTAATCTTTCGAACTCTCTTTAGCAAAAATAATACATATTCTATACATAAAAATATATATAAGTAAAGAGTAAAGAAAGTATTAGCTGGAAAAAATAAAAGAACAAATGAAAAAAGGTAAAAATAGAAAAAAAAAACATTTTTATTGATTTCGTTGAGTTAAAATTTCAAGCATATTAAAAGATACATATTAAAAATACATATATATATTAGTTAAAGAACAAGAATAAAAAAATATATATGTATGTATTCGAAACAACATTAAACAAACAAAGCACAATCGATCGATATGCTGATTTCATCGAAATATATATCAAATGTTAAGTAGAGCATTCACAAAAGTACGTAAAGATTTTCGTGTAAATTTTTGTTAATTTTTTTAATTGTTTTTGTTATGTTTTATTATTTTCTTTTTTTAATTTTTCATATACTTGTGTAAACTTTTTCACATAATACAATCATTTTTTCTTCTTTTGTATGTAGTTAAAAATAAATAAAAATGTAAAGCTTATCTTAGAAATTTTATACATATGTATGTATGCATATGTACTGCAAGACCTACTTACACACTCGACAATATATATACGTACTTGAGATTAACTGAAGTTCGTGGCGTATGATATTTTGCAATATGAAAAAAATAATAATAGTAAAAATAACAATAATGATAATAAATTTAAATCGAAAATGATTTGTATAAGTTTAAATATTTTTATGGCGTTTTGTGTGTGAGAGATAAGCATCATATTTTTTAGTTGTTTTAATAAAAATTTTAAAATAAGTTATAATGCAGTGCTCGTCAATTTCAAACTTTAAAACTTTAGTCTCTAGAATCAATCATACACAATTTGCGCACTTGCATACTAGGATAATTGAAAATCGTTATTTTGATTGATATATTGATCGTATATCATTTTCAGGGAGACAATCATGTAAGCATGCGTTTATCGCGTTGGGAGGCTAACCATATACTATATACTATTGTCGCCAACTTTCCAATAATTAGCGTCAAATTTTCCATTACACTGTTGCAAATAACTGAGAGAGACGTAAAAAATGAGAGGCAAATTTACGTTTGTTTGCTTTGTATAAACAAACTACATATGGTAAATAATGCAAACACGCAAAATGATATAAAAAAATTTATGTAGAAGTTGTGTCAAGCCATAAAATGACAAATGAATTTGAATGTGGCAATGATCACAATCGATTTACAAGAAATTTACATTTAAATGTCAGTATATAAAACGTTTTTCAATCAAAATAAGGAGTAATACTTTCAATATTTAATTTTTTTGTACATTTTTGCGTCGAGTGGTAACTTTAAAAATTATATATTATAATATTTATCAGTTTTTACCAGCAATTCTTTGACTTCCTCAATTAAAACGCTTCTATACAAATATCAACACTATCATTTTCGTAAGTTGTGGGTGCTGGCGTATTCAAATAATCTCCTTCCACTTTATACTGGACGAAAAAGCTGTTTGCGGCTATTCCTAGCTTCTTTTGACTGTAGCAGTTATTGTTGTAGAATGCGCCAGCGCCTTAGAGGAATGTTCAAAAACTGTAGTTCAATTTTTCAAATACTCAATATTGTAATACTTACCTTTATATACAACAATCCATCTTCCGCCAAGGCAAGACTGTAGGGTGTATTCAATATTATCGGAAAAAAAAAATGGAAAGATGTAGTTTTTTGGCGCTTCATTTGTTATTTTTACCGCTCACGAAGCAGTTAAGTATTGCTATCATGCCAGTCCAATGGTTTGCCAGATACGCTCTTTCGCTATATATGCGAATTACAGAAAGATCGCGGAAATTTGAAATTGACTCCCATGATTTTCAATTCATGGTCGCACCTCTAGAAAGAAATGTTTATATTTACGAAAATAAAAGGAAATTGGGTAATACAGAAATATTTATGTTACTTGCTGATTACATATTATTGATGACTGCCGCCTGCTTGCATAAATAAAAAAAAAAATTGTTTTAGGGAATATGAAAGGATCGTCATGTAATATTTAAAGATTTGATATATATAATTGTGTAGGTTCTGTATATCCGACTGTGACTCCTTTGCTTATTGTCTGCCATGCATGGGCCTTAAGTGCCCCAAGACTATTGAATTGGTCAAAGTCAAATTTCTAAGTGAACAGTGAAAATTCGGGATTTAAGTCGCATATATGATCATCACAAATTAGATATTGATAATGATGCTTTAAATCAAATCTGATTGATCTTATACACTATATTTTTGTCGTACAATTATGTCTTATTCTCGTATCAGCTGCGCATAATAAATAATGGTGATAATAATTGATAAAATTCGTGAATTATAAGCTATAGTAACTAGAAAGAAAATTCAATCTTTTTGGTGTCCATCTACCCACAATAAAACCATATTTTTTTAAGACCGTACATTGGAATGTTGAACGAGAGAGAACGTTCTTTCGTAAAAGTCGGGAAAGACTCTATCTATATTTAACAGATACTTTTTCCTATCTTCATCGCAGCATTTGAATCCTACGTCAAAAAAGTGGCAAATTTTATCAGCCTATCCGAAGGTAAACACATTTTTTATCATCTTTATAAGCATTGAAGTGACGCTCAGTCAAGCTATGTGCCGTGGAGCGGCATAACTGGTAATCGGAAGGCGCAATTCGTACGAACTACGGCGATGCCAGACAGCCCTTTACTGGGTGTTCAATTTGTGGGCGAGGTTTGTCATGTTACAAAATCACTTTGTCGTGTTCTGTGATGACATCGACATTCGGTTCAAACTGTTCACCATAAAATACGTCCAACTGAAAATATTCGGTTTTGCTGATAACGTTGATGCATAGTCGTGCTTACGCCACAATTTTTGACAGTTACAGTTGTCATAGTGTATCCCTTTTTCCCTGTGAATCATGACGCGATTCGTTCCTTTTCTGCTAAGGAAGCACACATGAGAAGACGCCGTCCAACATTTCTTGGCTTCAACGACATTGCTTTTCAATCATTCAACTCCTAATCATTCTGCAAGTTCAGTTAGTGTCTTTTCGGGTCGGCAGAGAGTTCTATACCCTCCACTTCCACAAAATCATTATTTTGAAGCGTCTTCACCAATCTTTGCCTGCTGTTTCCGACAGGGTATGATCGTTGTAAACCCTAAAAGGAATTCTGTGGGCACAAGCTGTAGATTTTTTCAATAAAAACAGTAAAACTTTCCCCAAATACTTTTCTTTTTAGTTACGAAAGTTGACATATCTAACGCTAGGAAAAACAAAATTTTTTACGCTCGGCGAAGACACTGAAATTCAAACTTGCTTATAAATGGGTAGCACATTAAACTACTGCTATTGTTTTCATATTAAACCATAATAGCCATAGAGTATACAAAAGTCCATATTAAATTTTTTAAATTATATTAAAAACGTTCAAATTTGTTATGTGCAACAAGCGGCCATATTTTCAAAGTAAATGTATTATTTTAAATTTATAATGGATCTTGAAGAAGTCTTCCTCCTCAATCTGCAGTTATGGACAAACTCTGACTATAAACCCAATTCTCTGCGACTGCCCTAACTTTTCATTGGCTAGAAGTATTGTATTTGGAACGATTAACCCTTTGGACATTCTAAAATCAGCTTCAGAGCAGAATATCAATTCGATATATTACTTTATTAAAACTACTAGACTCAATATCTAATGTACGTTTATATAAATTAGAGCCGATAGCCTGTGTTGCTAGTGCTCAATGTCTTTTTTTTTTTAGTCTAAAAATTTATTTCATTAGTTTAAAATTATAATAATAACAATAATAATTAATTTATAATAAAAAAATATAAATGTAAAATAATTTTTGGGCACTTTGGGCACTAATTATGTATCATTTAGTTAACTAACTCTCATTTGAAAGACGTACGTTGAGAACCATTTGGACGAGAGCTATGCATGGCTTTCACTATTCGAAGTTTATATAGAAAAAATGGTGACAAAATAAAGGGGCCAATTTGACGTCTGTTTGTTTGTTTACAATGATGCAATCAACAACAAAACCATACAAAGCTAAATAAAAATAAATCAATAAAAAATGTTTGACTAAATAAAATGTACTACTTCTCAATCAAGACTTGAAACAATACGACCTAGCGGCAGCTGAAAATTTTTCTAACGCGTCTTTTCCGTGTTATCGTAAAAAAAAAGAGTTTTTGGCTTGTTTCAATCTAAAGGAAAATGGACGAAAACAAAAATAATGATAATTAATATAAATATTTAGTGATTTCACTTTCAAGTGAAATATTACTCTGGTTTTTTTTGCAATCTTGTAAACTCCTTTTTAAAAAATATATATAAAAGAGTTTTTCTTTCTTTTACTTCTGGATTTTTGGCAAGTGTTCCCTGGGATAGCACCTTAACAGTTAAAACAATATCAGCTCGTCTTATTATGGAGACAGGGTCTGATTCAATTATTGCAGGTAGGGAAGTTTTTAAGAATTTTTATTTAAAGGCTATTGAGAACAATAAGAGGCGGCTAACGGAGTTGAATTAGCGTCTTTACCTCCCGATTCAATGGTGCTTAATAACAAGGTTATTGATAAGGCTTTTGATTTGGGTGCTAAAAGCATTCCAAATCCTGAAATCAATTTATATGACTATACTACGCAGTGTAATTTTTTTGTACCTTAAAGCTTATATTCCCACATTTTTTACGACAGCATTTGGTATTGTGCGTAATGTCCCTATTGTGTAGGATGTAAATGAGATTATTAACAATGGTGTGTGCGATATTCCTATTCAGTCTGTCATGAGGTTTCAGAGGAGGAGTCCTAGCAACAAATATGAATTTATTCTGGCTCCCAGTATAAAAATTAGTTTTAAAAGAAAAGCCCTCCCTAAGTCGACTATGTTAAATATTTGTAATCCCCCAGTTGACTACTTTGTTCTCAGCTTAAACTTATGTTTTAAGTGTGGTAGGTATGCTCACACCTGAAACAAGTTTTGCAAGGCCAAGAAGACCAGGTGCCTTAATTGTGATAAGTCCCCTAAATATACTGATAAATACGAAATGATTAGGTGTCTGTTTTGCGATTCAAATGAACACAATACACTGAAAAAGTCTTGTACGCACAGAGAGCGGGAATATACTCTCAACAAGATAATTTGTACGAAGAGAACTTTCCTTCATTAGTGAATTGGTCTACGGTTTCCTCCAAGTATGATAATGAGGACGTAAATAAAATTCTAACGAAAAAAAAAATATAGTGCTGTTGTCAAAACGATATCTATTATATCAAAGCCTTCTTCTAATTCACCTCCAAAGCTGACTGTAACAAGATATCAAGGGCTGATGGTTTCTACCAATGATTTACGTTCTTCTGAACTGGAAATATTAATCTCTGCTATTAAACAATTTATCCTCTCGATGATTCCTTAGGATCGTATTAATGAATTTGAAGAAAAAATTTCTGATTATGCTAATTCTCGCTACGAGCAAGTACCTAGTGCTTTGAGTAAATCCTCTAGGATGCCGTTTCTATTTAAAATATGATCTCTTTTTTACAAAATAATATATAAAGTTTTCGGCGTAACTTGTTGTCTTTAAATTTTTACTTGAACTCGAATAACACTAACTTTTGTAGCTTAAATGCAGTTTTGCCAAAAGTTGGCAATGTTTTTGAAGTTAAAATTGCCAATTATCCTTCATTCACCAAATTTCGCGACGATGGCTATGGTGATGTTAGCATACCAGTTAAGAAAGGTATCAATTTCAGAATTATTCCCTACAATTCTGCTGTTGACGTTATTATCATCAAAACTATGAATCTGAGACCGAATCTTTTCATAGCATTATGCCAATTTCCACCCAGCGTCGATGTGCACATTTTTAACGATGATATTCAGAGATTATATACTTGATGGTGAACAAAAAATGATTCTAACTAAAGATTTCAATGCTAGACATTGAATGTATGCTGATTATCTCTCGACTAACAAAGGCAAGATCCTTGTGAATGCCATCAATGCCAGCAGTTTTAAAGTTTTAAATAATGATAACCCTACCTTTCACTGTAATCGGAGTAGCCACGCGGCGGGTAGTGTCTTGTATCTAACTTTCTCTAATTCCAATATTTTGTCATTTAACTGCATAACTACTAATGTCTCAAGTCGTAAAAGTCAACACTCTTCCATTTTATTTCAAAGTTTCAGCAATTCTGTTAAAAAAATATAAAATTTCGTTTCAAGGAAATGCCTAATTAACCGTGCATCTAAACTTGACCTTCAATCCAATTTATCATCAATTCAAAATATTTTTCAGTCTGAGATCAAGTCTGCTAGAAACAACTTTTCTAATATTGAGTCTTTCTCACCAAAATCGTGGTGAACTCTTCCCTGTCGACACTCTTTTGCAAATATCAAGCTCCAAGGAAAAAAATGGGTAAGTACGCATATCCAGCCAATTTCATTGAATATGTGAAAGCACGGAAGAAATGGAGATCCGCACTTAGAAAGGCCAGAAGGAAACATAAAGCTGTCATAATTAAAGAGTTGTATGGCAATGGCAACTCGAGTTTTTTGTGGAATTGTATCAACGGAATTATATCGTCGACATTTTTGTCAAAAATTAAATGGTTGCGTTGTGTGGAACGAGCATGATAATAACAGATACTTAGGTAGGCTCAAGAGCTATATTCCAAGTATCAATCAGATTACAATACATTCAATTCCTTTCACTAGTATCAATAAGACGCCCTTCTCCTTAGGTGAGTTATATTGTATGTTTTACAATCCAGGGAGAGAGCTACCGCTGCAGGTTGTAGTGAAGTTGATTATGATATGGTCAGGTCACTGTCTTGGAGAAGCTTGATTGTCTTTTTGCATTCAATTAATAACTATTGGCTTTAGTAACTTTATACCCTCGAATTTGCGATGCGTAAAGGTTGTTTCCATTCCTAGCGCATATAAAGACTTAAATGATTTAAGCAACTTTAGACCCATTTCACTAATACCTGTATTCATAAAGATTATGAATCTCATGGTTAAGGAGAGGCTAATGGATTTCTTGAAAACTGGGAACATTATTCCAGCTTGTTCTTACGCCTGTCAAAAACGCAAATCTGCGAATATATGCGTTAATGAACTATCTTTTCTCATAGCTAGTCTAACGACAGATGGCAAAATGGTTGTTATGCTTTCCCTGGATATCAGCAAAACCGATAATTTTCTCAACTTGATAAGGCTTGGTAGAATTCTTTTCAATCCCTCTTTAATTACCTCCGTGGATACCAAACTTTTCATTCAAGAGTGTGTTGGTAATAGGCATAGACAAAGTTGAAGTATACGGGGGTATTCCATAAGGCAGTTGCTCGAGCTCTATACTCTTCAATCTAAATACAGGTAAATCGCATGATCTTCAAGACTATAAAACCTATATATGTCAATATGTTGATGATTTGTTAATTGCAGCTGCTTTTTCCATGCAAGTGACGATCTTAATTTGTATTTTAATCATGGCAAAACCAATACTATTTATTTTGCCAAACACTCTATACCGAACTTAGGCTCTTTATCAAAGGAACTAAAGTTAATCAGATGAAATCTCTTCGGTTTGTTGGTAGAATTTTAAATGATAAGCTGTAATAAAAGCATAAATAAAGCATAAAGCATATCTTGGATTTGCTTAGGAGGCACGATGAGAGTGGTCAACGATATAACGAAAAACAATTGCAAAATCAAAAGAGAGTGGTGCAACGGTTAACCCAGATTAAGTATGTCTTTCAGTCGTTCCATCGCAACACGTGCAATGTGTAAGTTTGACTTAACAAATAATGTTTGTTGCATTACATAGTTTGTTAAGCTCACGCACAAAGGAAATTGACAGCGAAAGATAATGCTTTAACGTAATTTCTTTTTGGGTTTTTTGGTTTACTACGATTTTTCAGGAAGGAAAAAGAAAGGATGGTCAAGCTTGCTTACTTTGGGATAGTTTGCGATGAAAAAAAAAAGAGTAAACGAATTAATCAATTAATTGTAGAAATTTTCTTCGAATTTTCAACGAAAGTTGACAATTTTACTTAAATATAAGTTACTCTAATATCTAAAAAAAAAACAATAAAAGAAGAGAAATGCAATCAGAATAATGTGCTGATGTGCAAAAAAATTAAGAAAAGGGTATTTTCTAAACATTCTATTCAGTGTAGTTTGTATGGAGATAATATAGAATATTCGTTCAAATAATCAAAAAAATAATAAAAAGTAATACAAATGAATTATTTATAAAAAAATTGTATATCCTGCGAATCTATGGTAGCACATGAATACCATGTGCTGAAAATCATAACATTATTACCAGCGATGAATAAGAAATCTATGTTCCCATACAAAGAGAATTGCATATTAAACACACAACAGCTGGAAAGACTTTCGGAACACAAATGTCAATGTCGTAACGCAAGTCTATTAGATCCTTGGCTACGACTATGGTGGAATTGTTTGGCCTTAAAAACCTCCCTGCGGTTAGAACTGAATTAAATTACGGCCTAATAGTAAATGTCACAACTTTAATATTAGTGGGATACAGTCAAGGCGGAATAACTCCTCCATCGCGAAGTGTAGAATTAATCAACGAAAAAGAAGCCAGACGAACAAATACATCTTCGCCGTTGAGATAGCTTTTCGATTATGGTTGCGATTCCATATCCGGTCTTTTTATTACGGCCTGTATACAGTTCAGCCACTATCCTGACTGGTTATTCTTCTAGTGTTTTTGTGCTACTGGTTTGTTTGATAGCGCCGATTGGCAAAAGTATGTCTCGGGCAGGTTACGTTCGCGAAAAACTGAAGTAAATGAAGCTCAATTCAACGTTCGTTGGTGTACATTTGTTCCGAAATTATGGTTAACGGAGCTAAGATATCTTGGATGTGAAGCGCGCAATATGCCTCTATATTTTGCGTTTGGCATTGATCTTTTATTCATTGCACGCTATACCAACGTCGTGAAGAATGAAGGATGCGGTAAAAATAGATCCACAATGGCCGTCAGAAGCGTCTGTTCGCCTAGAATATCTTTGACGCTAGTAATATTACCGGCATTTTTAGTTGCTCAGAAATTGTCAGAGATAATCTTTGTGGAACAATTCTCTCTATACTTTATAGTAGTCGGCTTGGTGGCAGCTAAAGTAACCTATAAATTGGTTATTGCTCATTTGACCAAAGACGAAATGGAATATTTGGATTGGCCTCTTTTGGGTTCAGGTCTATTGTTCCTGAATCAATATTTTAATTGCGTAATCCCAGGAAAATGGTTATTCTGGTCATTTGGTCTATTCAGGACTTACTGCGGAACTGTGCACAAGTCGTTTGCATATAAATCTATTGGCCATACCTTATCCAACACGCATTGCGTCAATCAATGCAGTGGCATGAATATGAGTAGCGCATTTACCACCGGTTCTAGCGATAAAAATGTCCCCACTCATCATCTAAAGACTTATAATAATAATTATTATCCTGCGTATTTTAAAGAGAATTGTGACCTTATACAACCTTATTCTTTAAATATATATAACTATTTTCCCGAAACAAGTAAGTGTGGCCACATATATTTATATTCATCACAGTTTATAAAAAAAAAAAATTTATATCTATTATACATAAACGTTATAAATATATACATAAACGTCCATATACATAAGTAGAACTAAAGAAATTAATGCTTACCTATTACATATTTTAACATATTAAGTATTGATTAAAAAACAAAAGAAAAAAATGGAATAAAGTATAGTTTTTCTTAAATTTGAGAGGAAAGTAGTTAAGGGGCTTTCGGACCCAAACTCGCGGTCTGCCATAGCCATCATGGGCCGAAGAAAACCATAGTCAGGGCGGGTGCAAAAAATCCCAGGGACGCAAGGGAAGTCCGTTCGCTAAGTTAGTTTACGTTCATCCGTGTGTTCGTTAAAGGGTAAGTATGTATGTATGTGCTGTTCTTTTAACTGTAACAGTCCGAGGAGTGTCAATGAGCCGAAAATATAGAACCCTTCTCACATCTCACGAACTAGCTAGCGCAGCAAAGGGATGTACATTGGTCTCATACGCCTCCAATCCTAAAGTGGTACTTCCGAGTTTTCTTAAAATTTAATGCGATTAATAGTTTCCTATACACAGACAGGAAGATATAGACAGTGACGTTCTCCACGTTCCAGCTACCTAAGGAAAAGATCGATTTACTTCGACCGCGTAACTCAATTTTCGCCTTTACTTTCATTCATTTTATTAATTTGTGAAGTTCAATTTTGTATTTTTGTTTAGTATATAAACGAATTTACCTAAAGTGAATGTATAGTATTTTAAAATTAAATTTTTTCTTTTTAATCAGTTTCTGAAAATCAAATGAAAACCCAGCTTTTTAATTGTCATTTATGCGGATTTATTCCTCATATTTTTTATTTCAATACAATTCCGTTTGAAAGTGCAGAAGCTATATTATATTGATAGGTACAGACCCCGAAAACTCTAAAATAATGGTTAAACGGTTCACTAGAAGCATATAGATTCTCCTTATGCCATCACTCATACCAATTTTTCCTGAGAGGTATTCGAAAGCCTGTTGGGACGCGAAACTTTTTTAGAAATCCATATGTGACAATATATATATATATTTTTATTTACTTTGTTGACGAATGTATAAAATCGTATGCTTACATATTTTCCGCAACATACGAAGATGTGAAGCGTCTTATAAGATACCTTTTCCGCCCAATTTCGATTTTCCTCTACTGCCAAATAGCATAGTATAAGCAAAGAAATTATTCCGCCTGATCTATATATATTTCTCAACATTACTTTATTCTTTTTTTTATCCGCCTTTGTGGCCCAGTAGGCAAGAGTCTCGACTAGCAACTCAGTGGTCGTGGGTTCGAATCTCAAATGCGGTAGAGTTTTTAATAATGGCCGATAGCCTTAGATGCTAGTGCCTTTAAGAGTTTAGTCTTAGAATTTATTTGTCTGGCGAAATTCATAATAATAATAATAATAATAATACTTTATTCTTTAATAACAACATTTTACTTATTTTGTTGTTTTGTTTTGCTGAGTAAAATGGATTAGACCAGTTGGCGATAAGACCATTATATCCAGTTGATGAGTTTCTATTATTTATCAATATTAATTAATAATATTTATCGCGCTTTATCAATATTAATTAATAATATTTTTTATTTTTTTTCGGTATGTTGAATGGAGATGGACTAAGCCAATAGATTTGTGGCTTATATGTGCAGATAACAAATTGTCGTAATTTTTAGTCACAATTATGTACAAAACGTAACAAAAAAAAGAGCGGCCGTAATAACTGGAGCCAGCATGTTAAGTGTAATTGTGTGTGTGTGTGTGTGTAATTCTGCTTGTGGAGTTCTTGGAAGTCAAACAGAGCTGCAAACTTTGGCTGAAAACGAAAAGGAATGCTATGGTAATAGAAGATGATTGAACGCAAAAACAAAAGAAAAAAAGAAAGGAAAGAAGAGGAAAAAAAAAACAAGTTAGTTCCCCGAGATGACGTACATTTTTTGCAAAGAGATCGAGCAGACAGCCATATAACTTGAAGAAGCTAAAGGAATCTCTAATACCATCAAGCCTGTGACATCTGAAGATTAGATGCTAAGCAGACTCAACAATATTGCAAACTTCATAAACATCACATGGTATAGCACGAATCACTTTTAAATAAACTTTGTCATAAGTGTGACCACTCATGAGTCTATAAAAAATTTTGATTTCCCATTTCCCATGAATTAAAAGAAAATACAGAAAAGGGTTTTAATTGCAAAACAATTTTCATCTTTCAGAAAAACTTCACTTACAATGCAGAAATCAACGTTGTTTAAGAAAATGCAAAAACGATAGGTTACGTTGGACACTTTGAATATTATATTGTAAAAAGGATATCATGTTGAAACTTGAGAAAGAACCCCAGCGGATTTCCTCGTAGTACTGGATGCTTGAACGGGGCAAGAAATGGCACAGACAGACATTTTTTCTTCAAATTCTTTAATAAGATTATGAGGGATCATCGGACGAATACTTTTTTTAATTCACGAGCATTAATCTTTCAAGTTTTGAGGACCGCAAATAGTTGTTTGCAATTATCAGACGTCGAAGACTTCTTCCAGACGGCTTGGAGGATGCATTGAGAGAAAGCTTGGTGGGTAAACTGACAGGGGATTTGGAAGTAAGCGATTTCCTTTTGACGACGGCATTATATTTATTTATGGTAACCGTAACTACCGCACTTAAAGCACTGCTTTAAAGTGGGTACAAAGTACTCAACCGGCAAATAACAATAATTAAATTTAATTGACTTAGTGAGAGCTCTTCCTTTGAAGCCAATTTTGATGCTGCTTGTGGGAATCCACTCATCTTTGTTGCTGGGATTTTTTCTTTGAAAACGGACAGCGGACTTAATCGGAATATCGAATACGGCGTTTTTAATTATATCATCGACACTGTATGTGCATGGAATGTTTCGAATGACTCCAAATCTCTCAGTGAAAGACCTCGGTATGGCAAGACCTAAAGTCTGGCAACTCTGTAGCGCGGTATAGTCGTATATATTTTATTTCGGCAATGAATATTTTAATTTTTTGTTGAATTTCGTGGCTATTCTGCCTTATAGTGTGAGAAGAAAGTGAGTGAATTCAAAGTGAAAGAAATATTTTTCGTTTACGCTTTGATTCATTTGATTTTTGCAAACAAAAATTTTGAGCTCTGATATAAATTTCTCTTTTTTTTTTTTGTTTTCTCTCTTTTTCTCTGTTATTTTTTTGCTGTTTGGAGTTTGTGTTGCTATTGATCTCTCGTTACAGCGTCAACCTAACAGAGAAGTTTTGAGTCTCTCATGAGTCTATAAAGAATTTTGATTTCCCAGGAATTAAAAGAAGAAACAGAGAAGGGTTTGAATTGAAATGTGGGATTTAATTTATAGAAAAGACGATTGGATTTAATGCGCGCGATTACTTTAAATTCGTCGTTTAGCTGTTGAAGGATGTGGTTGCGAATTGGCCGAATTGCTTGATTGGGAGCATATTTGATGGACAAAATTGTCCCATCAACACGAGCTCTCCCTGCATGAAAGTCGGCTTTTACATTTAAAAAAAAGCCGCAGTGGCCAGGTACCCAAACGAGGTGACAGTCATCCACTTGAGATTCGTGCAACGTCTTGTGAATGTCAAACACATATTGATTTTCTGCATCTCTTTTATTTATTAGAAGTAGAGCAGACCTGCTGTTGGAAAAAATAACAAAACGTCTGATACCATCGGAAATAGCAACCATGATAGCATGTCGAATGGCGAGCAACTCAATAAAAGTAGAGGAAAGTTCCTCTTCCACTTTGACTCGAAGTATTGTTTCAGATAGATGTTTCACGACCGAGAAGCCAGATACATTATGTCCGACGGAACCGTCATTGGCATATATATCATATCCGTTGTTGTAATAAAAAAGGAGCTTTTCTTGGAATAACAACGTTATACAAGAGAAGTTGACATTTTGTTTTGAGGTAGAGATTGGTTCGAGAATGTTCATGAAGATTTGCATTTGCTGGTAATGAAATTCAAGGGGGGAATTGAATCTAACTTATCAAAAATATGACGAAGTTTTTGATAGCAAAAAGTATAGCTGCAAGTGGCAGTGTCACTGAGAGATATAATTTCCTGAAAAAAGGAAGGATTTATCATCTTGACTTTAATTAACTCCTTGGCAGTGCAAAAAAGGGCTCTTTCGGAAACTGGCCATTCACCAGATATAACATTGAGAATATGTTGAGGAGTTGAGGGGGTCAGTCCAGTACAACGCTTCAACATTCGGTTTTCAAATGCTTGTATAAGTTTCTCAATATATTTTGGGAAATTGCAACGTGTGGAATGTCCAAATTCAATTTTGGACCTGACTAGAGATTTGTAAACGGTCAAAGCATTTTTGGGAGGCAAGCCTGCCTGATTGTTTATCATGCGTTTGATGATGTTGCATACAGACTGACAATCTTTGAACGCCTTTTCATAATGCCCACGAAAGGTTAAGCTGACATTTAAAATTCTCCCAAGAAATCGAAGAGATTTTTCCTGATTAACTTGGGTACCTTTGATAAGAAGTCTGATTTCACGTTTAGAACCTTTGGCAAAATAAATAGTGATTGTCTTGCTGGGGTTAAAATATAAATTAAGATCAGCGCGTGCATCGAAAAACAAGTTCGCTTTCATCGAGAGGTTATTGACAGCTGCTGGAAAAGATGAGTCCGCAGATACGATTAGAAAATCGTCTGCATATTGAAAAATGTGAGTTTTGTCATCTTGAAGATCATGCAAAGAAGCTGCGTATAAATTGAAGAGTATGGGGCTTAAACAACTGCCTTGTGGGATACTACCGCATATTTCAACTTTTTCGGTACCCATCACCAACACACGCTTGGATAAAAAATTAAGTATCCACAGCGCATTTGAAGAGGAATCGAAAAGTTTAGGAGAATTCTACCGAGCTTAATCAAGTTGACACAGTCATAGGCTTTGCTAATGTCCAGGAGAGCATGACAACCTTTTTCCCTGCTTTTTTTAAGCTGGCTATGAGAAAACACAATTCATTAACGCACATACTCGTAGATTTGCGTTTTTGATAGGCGTAAGACCGAGCTGGAATAATGTTCTTAGTTTTCAGGAAAGCAGTTAGTCTCTCCTTAACCATGAGGTTAATGGTCTTTATGAATACGGATATTAGTGAAATTGGTCTGAAGCTACTTAAATCATTTAAGTCTTTACCTGGTTTGGGAATGGGAACTATTTTGATGCAACGCAAATCAGAGGGTATAAAGTTGGTGGACCAGCAGTTGTTAATTGCATGCAAAAGCATGCTAAAGCTTCCTCCAGACAGTGCTGTGAGCATGTCATACTTGACTCCATCACGACCTGCAGCAGTAGCTCTCTTTGTGGAATGTAAAACATACATTAGCTCATGCAATGAAAAGGGTGTGTTACTGATACTGCTAAAAGAAATTGAAGGCATTGTAATAGGATTAACAATTGGAATGTAGCTCTTGAGCATATCTAAGTATTTTTTATTATCACGGCCATTCCATACAACACAACCGCTTAATTTTCGACTAGAATGTCGATGACCGTTGATATAGTTCCAGAAAGAACATGGGTTGCCGTTACCACATAAATCTTTAATCGCGATAGCTCTACGTGTTCTTTTCGCCTTTCTAACTGCAGACCTCCATTCTTTCAGTGTTTTCATATATTCAATGTAGTTGGCTGGATTGGCATATTTACTCATTTTTTTTCTTGCAGCTTGGTATTTGCGGAAAAGTGTTGACAGTGAAGGATTCCACCAAGGTTTAGGTGAGAAGGACTCAATGTCAGGGAAGTTGGTTCTGGCAGACATGATCACAGACTGAAAGGCACTTTGAATTGATGATAAATCAGAAGGAAGATCAACTTTAGACAGACGGTCCATAAGGAAGTTGCGTGAAATGAAACTTTCTATTTTCTTGACGGAATTGTTACAATTGTGGAATATAATGGGGGAGTGCTGACTTTTGCCAATGGAAACATTGGACGTGGTCCAGTTGAAAGATAAAATAGTTGAGTTCGAGAAAGTTAGATCCAAGACACTGCTCGCCGTGCGACCGCTCCGATTACAGTGAAAGGTAGTATTGCCATTATTTAAGACACTGAAACTGCTGGAATTGATGGCATTTAGAAAGATTTTGCCTTTGTTAGTAGAGACTTGATCGCCATACAGGCGGTGTCTTCCATTGAAATCTCCAGCTAGAATCACGTTTTGTTCACCGTCAAGAAAGTCGCATAATCTCTGAATCTCATCACGAAAGGTTTGCACATCAAGACTGGGTGGAAAGTAGCATGAGGCTATGAAAAGATTCGGTTTCAGGTTGATGGTTTTGATGATGATGATGTCAACGGCAGAGTTATAGGGAATACGTCTGAAATTGACACCTTTCTTAAGTAATATACTAACACCACCATAGCCATCATTTCGGCATTTGGTGGCTGAGGCATAATTCGAAACTTTAACTTCGAAACAATTAAGATACAAAAATCACTTAAGATACAAAAATCGATCTTGTTTGAGTTTAAGTAAAAATCTAGAAAAAATATGTTACGTTGGACACTTTGAATATTATATTGTAAAAAGGATATCATGTTGAAACTTGAGAAAGAACCTGAAAGAACAAGAAATAGCACTGACAGACATTTTTTGTTCAAATTCTTTAATAAGATTGTGAGGGACCATCGAACGGATACTTTCTTGAATCGCGTGAATTAATCTTTCAAGTTCTGAAGACCGCAAATAGTTGTTTGAAATTTTCGGTCCAAGAAGGCTTGTTCCAGACGACTTGGGGGGTGTATTGGGAGAAGGCTTGGTGGGTGAATTGATAAGAGATTTGGAGGGAACCAATTTCCTTTTGACGACAGCATTGTATTTATTTTTGGTTAAGATTTTGTTGGCATTTTGATTATCATCCTTGGTCGAAATTGCAGACGTGTTCCCCAGTGGAGGAAAATTGCCGTCATAAGTGTTGTCATCGAGACATTCGAAATAATTTTCGGAAAAATTCTCTTTGACCTCTTTATACGAAAGATTTTTAATCGCCATTATCCTGTTGATGTTTAATTCAATTCCCCTATTAGGGCAGCACTTATTGAGAGCGTTGTGCTCACCTGAGCCACAGGACAAGCACTTCATCGCCTCACAATTTACACACTTCGGAGACTTTCCACAGTTAAGGCACCTGCTCTCTTTGACTTTGCAGAATTTAGATACGTGACCGTATCTGCTACACTTAAAGCACTGCTTTAAAGTGGGTACAAAGTATTCGACCGGCAGATTACACTAGTTAAATTTTATTGGCTTAGGGAGGGCTCTCCCTTTGAAGCCAACTTTGATGCTGGTTGTGGGAATCCACTCATCTTTGTTATTGGGCTTTCTTCTTTGGAAACGGACAGCGGACTTAATCGGAATATCGGATACGGCGTTTTTAATTATATCATCGACACTATATGTGCATGGGATGTTTCGAATAAACCCAAATCTCTCAGTGAACGACCTCGGTATGTACGCTTTTAAATTATTTTTATTAAATTCATTATTCATAACAAAATTGTTGGCATTGGCAGCGGAGCTGAAAAGAAGTTTGGCTCTACCCCTGCTGACACCTTTTAATTTTTTTAAGCCGTACATACCGAAATCCTTCAAGTAATCATAGAAATAGAGATTGGAGTTAATATTGATGCGATTTTCTTCTGCGTCCGCGCACGTTTCGACAAAAACGACAAAATTGCAGTTTGAAAGGCAATCGTACAAATTAATCTCGAGATTTGGGGCGGCTGTGGCACCCAAATCAGAGGTCTTGTCGGTAGCCTGTTTACTAGGCGCAATTAAAACGTTTGCGTTAGCTTCTCCGTTAGCAGATAAAAGAATATTATTCTCACCCATCCTCGATTTCTTGGTGTGCCCAGTAGCGTTCATGTAAAAATCTTCAAAACAGTCTCTATCAGTAGTTATAAGGTCAGACCCAGTATCCATAGGGAGACGGGCTGATGTTGTTTTGGTTGTTATCACGGGAAACACCAAAAAAGAAAAAAAGAAATCGCAACGAAAAACAAAAAATGTAATATATGTATTGCTCTTTAATTTTTCTCTCACGAGAGATTCCTCCTCCTTCCCTCCTTTTCTGTCTTTAAAATTGTTTTCTTTGGTTATTTTATTACTCTTTTCCTTTTCTCAAATATTTAAATTCTCTTTTTTTTCACTCACACCGGTAAAACACAATTATTATCCATCTGCCGTTCGCAGAGACGACGTGTTGTATCAAGTGTCAATGAAATGCGAATGTTAATTAATAATAAAACTATGTGCTTGCATATAGAAATCAGAGTTTTAATTTTATTTTTAACGTAATGCAACTCTAAACACGTAATACTAATGCAAGGCGTCAGCAATGTTGCTTATACTTTGACACTTTTGAGAGAGCGCTTCATGGTTCTCTTATACGTGCATAAAAATAAAAAGGTCGAAGATCGAAAATGAAACTTGGTTATCGTCATATTAATTTAAAACTTTGCATTGAACGTGCAGGATATTTTTCATAGTAACTTGTGAAAAAGTTAGGCTTCTTAAATAATGGCAACTCTAAATATAGAAATATCTATTATTTATTGTTGTGTATCGGAATTGGCGGAATCGTTGTTACGTGGTTTTGTTTCTCTAACAGATCGTATGGAAATTAGATTTCCAAAAAGCAGTTGTCAGTTTATTGTATTTAATTCCACCTTGTTTCCTTTGGTTTTTTTTATTTTTTTTTCGTTCATATAGGGCTCATAAACTTGGTTTTTTGTATAGAACTTGAGATGAAACAATGAAAGCAGATGTTGCAAGCGCAGGAATACGGAAGCATAAATTCAAAATGGAAGTGAGAAGGTAGAAGCACTCTGTTGTTTAGTATTTCTCCAAACTAGTCAGGCTAGAGTGACTATTTTTAGTTTCAGTGGATCAACAAAAGATGAAAGCAATTCGCGCGAAAGTCGTCAGCATGGCAAACAACTAACGGCCAATAAAACAGTGACAGAGGAGAAGAGAAGTATTATTATGGATAGCAGTTTGGGTACAATGAAAGAAGTCAGCGATAGTAATAATACAGGCCATAAGAAGCAGAATAATATTTTTACGGTGAATAACGCAAATAGAAAAGCTGCTGGTTGTCATTGGTACGCATATCTAACAAACCAATCTTATGAATCCAATGGCGTTGTTAACTTGGAAAATAACCCAATGCCATCTTTAAGTCAACGACAAAAACGCAAAACTGCTCAGCAAAATAAATACGTAGCCATGGATTGTGAAATGGTTGGTGTGGGTTACAAGGGCCAAGAAGATATGCTAGCACGTGTTTCTATTGTAAACAAGAGAGGCGAAGTACTTCTCGACAAATTTGTCAAACCCTGTGAAATGGTAACAGATTATCGAACAAGTATTTCGGGCATAAGACCACATAATATAGAAAACGGCGATGATTTTCATGATGTGCAAGATCAAGTCAAAAAACTAATTCAAGGTTTGTACCTGTTACTAAGTCGTAGCTAATACATAAATTAAAATCTTTTTTAGGAAAAATCCTCGTGGGTCATGGTATAGCAAAGGATTTAGGTGTGCTCCAAATAAAACATCCCTATCCGCTCATTCGTGACACCGCACGCTATAAACCTCTGTGTCGACTTGTAGCAAACGGACGAACACCAAGTTTAAAATGTATTACACATGCTATTCTCGGCTTAGATATTCAATCAGGGGAACATAATTCTATTGAGGATGCTCGTGCTGCAATGAAAATTTATAATAAACTAAGTTTTGACTGGGAAAACCATTTTAGAAAGCAGAAGAATCGTACGTAGATTCCGGAGGAATATTGACTTGTGCATGGTGGTATGGAAGATTTCAAACAATTTGTAATTTCTTTATTGATTTGTTTTAATTAATGTAAATAGGGGTACATTTCGCGCGATAACTACCTTATGTTTTCTTCCATATACCTTTTTTAATCGTCCTTGTAATTATTATAATTTATGTAATGTAATAAAATGAAATCAATTCTCAAACTAAATGCAAGAAATATTAGACACTAGTTGCTACAACTGATACCTTTATCATGCAAAGTAATTGCATTGGTTTATTGGCTTGAATAAAAACATCTAATTCTTATTATGGAATGTCGGTCATCTCCAACGACTTTTTTTAAGCAATTTCAAATTTCGAAGTGGATCCGTAGGATGTTCAAAACGAATTCTTATGTACATCTTGTCATTTTTGTCATAACTTGGATTAAGTTATCATAAAACTAAGATTTATGTACGGGTGCGGCTGCTTAATTTTTGGAGGAAGTGGAACTGTTGGTTGAAGCATTTGAAAGTAGCTAATTTTATTGGTATACGTAACATTTATATATTCCCATGCCAATAGACAGATTGGTCCAACTTTAAATGAACTTGAAAATCTCTCTAATGAATTTTCGTACTGAATTTCAAAATGTGATCTGATATAGATCGTAAATTACATCTCAAACACCTAATTTTTTTTATCGCCAATACGAGGACTTTCTAATATTGTGAGTATATTGAATACATTAAATGTTTATCACCAGGTTTTACCTTACTATTAAATAATTCTATGTATCAAATTTAATCGCAAATCAGTATTTTTGGGGAAAATATACTAAATATTGAACACATGTTTTATAGTTCATAAGAATTTTCTATCGGATATATGTAAATCACAAAGAATAGAGACTTCTGAAAAAAAAAAAGAATAGAGACTTGAAGCACTTTTTCTAAACAATCAAGTAAATGCTTTGGTCTATTGTAAATGGCGTTTTACGTTTCTTGCCAAATTAACCTTAAAAATATCTAAAGGCGCTTTGTCTCTATTCATTCTGATGGCTATCAATCCATTCCATACAATTCATTTCCTCGTCATATATACAATATTCATAATTGGCCTTCATGCGTTGCATAAACCAATTGAAGAGTATCTTTTCTATATTTTCGGCTTTTTTTTTTTGTTTCTTTTATAATATATCCTCAATTAATTCCTCGTGCTTTGAAAGCTTATCATGAACGTCTTAAGTGGGTAAAAGAAATATTATTCAACCTTTTCTCCCAAAAAATGCTTAAATATTTTTTAAACCGGCTGTTGAAAGATAGTAATGGCTGCCAACTCAATTCAATTTTTAGTTTCCAATAAAATCACAGTTTCATTAAAAAATTCGAAGTCGTTATCTTTTAACCAAAAAAATAAAATACGACGGTTATTCAAATCTCTCTAAACTTTTTTAGAGATATATCATTTTTGTCAATAAATTTAATAAAAACAAAATCAAAGCATATAATTGATAAATGAAATAAAAATGAAAAAGGAAGAAAATAAGAAAAAGTTGGTAATCAAGAAACATGGAATTTAGCAAATTTAATTCTAAGGAAAGGAACTTTTAAACTTACCTAACGAGTCACTCATAGAAAGAAGAAGAAGTATATATTAGTACGTTATTTTGTGTTTTTTTCTCAAAGGAATCAAGATCGTATCATTGTCGAAATTCGAATAGTTTCTTATTTTCCTCATACATCCCAATGTTAACGGCTATCTTTTCTTTATATAACTTTAGCTACCTGTATTGACCTTTCCAGTTGTTTTTTACTTTCAGCACAATTCTGCAATTGTATTACGAATATCTTGTAATACTTCGAAATACTTGTGCCATAGTTATCTATCGTTAAGTGAAACAAATTTGGTTGCTTCGATACACTTTGTTACAATTTTTCTATTGGTATAGTAACCCTATTTAATATAAATCTAGAATATTACATTGCAATTTCTGTTCGTGGCAAGGCTGGTTAGAATTTTGACTATGGCTGTGGACGGCTTTTCTCCTTTGCTTGCAAGTAAAAAAATATTTAATTTATTATTTTCTATTTAATTAAGCAAACTTCGTGGTTGAATCATGTGGTGGTTTCAATGCTTATGTAAAATTATATAGAAGACTCGGGCTAATGCGTTGCAAAATTTGTGACAGCAAAAAATTTTTTCATTACTCATTGCCATCGTAGTTGTTATTGGTATGTCAAATGTTTATCTGTTTTTATATCCATTCAATATGGGGGTATCAAGTGTGTCACATTGGGTTTGATGCATATAAATGTCCATTGGGGCATCAAAGGTTTTTTATTTCGATTTGTTGAGAAATCTTTGGCCGTTGAGACTGCCATTATGTATTTTTTCCAGATTTCAATACTATTCGTATTCCTTCCATTCTGTTTTTCACATAGTTGTCTTTGTTGATTGAATTTAATTGACTAATAGTTCGCTCTAGCGTGGGAATAGAACTATGGGCTTCGTCGGGGCCAAAGCAGCCGTACGAGCACAAGTCTAACCTTCCACGAGAGGAGACGAAGAATTCTCGATCGATTTCATTCAGCCCAGAGGGACGATATTTTGCCTACTCGAATGGCCACGAAGTTAAGATAATGCAAACGCAAGACTGGCAGCTGAAATGTATACTGCCACGTCCGAAAGCTTTCTATCTTAAATTCTCACCGCGTGGCAATTACATTTGCACCTGGGAACTGTACGCAATCTCTAAAGATATACCAGAAGGTTCGCCAAATATGTTCGTGTATGACATTGCTACTGGCGAAGAAGTTTTCAGCATTGTACACAAGAAGCAAACTGATTGGGAACCTTCATGGTCATCAGATGAGTCACTTTTTGCCTTAGTAGTGGATAGTAAGGCTCTATTTTACGATTTGTCTGCGGGTACAAGTGACTTTAAAGCAACAGCCTTAAGGATCGACAGCATAAGGGGTGCTGTACTTTCAGTCGGTCCGGGAAATAGTCCGCCGTATGTCGCATTGTATACACCTGGCACCAAAGGAGCACCATCCATGTGTAAGCTTTACAATTATTCGTGTTTCACTCAGCCACTGGCTTGCAAAAACTTCTTCAATGCAGACCGGGTGGAAATGTTATGGAATAAACGCGGCTCCGGTCTCTTGTTGTTAACTAGTACCGAGGTCGACAAGAGTGGGGCCTCATATTACGGCAACCAAGCTTTGCATTTTCTTGCCACCAAAGGAGACTCATGTTCAGTTCCATTGGGTAAGTCATTCGGAAGATTTCGTAACGAATGTACGCGCGTATGCATGTATGTGTGTGAACATTTCGTCCTCTCAATTTATGATTTAGCAAAAGATGGTCCAGTTCACTGTGTCAAATGGAACCCCAAAGCTACAGAATTTGTAGTAGTGTATGGTTTTATGCCTTCTAAAGCCGCGCTTTACAATTTAGGATGTGATGTGATCTTTGACTTTGGGGAGGGGCCACGTAACTGCGCCTACTTCAATCCGTTTGGAAATCATATCCTTTTTATTAAAGAAAATGTTTTTATTATAAAAATTTTTGTGTTTCGGTTTTCTTAACCCCTTCGCACTAGTCGTTTTAGCAGGTTTTGGTAATTTACCAGGAAACGTAGAGATTTGGGATGTTAAGATGAAAGAAAAATTAGCAAACATTAAGTGTCCTGATACTACACACTTTGAATGGAATCCAAATGGTGAATACTTTGTCACTGCAACTACTTCCCCAAGATTACGTATCGGTAATGGGTAAGTCCGTAATAGGACAAAAAGAAAATAGAAAAAAAAAATATTTTGTAATTCTCAGTTTCAAAGTTTATCATTATTCCGGAGCTTTAATGCATGAAACTATATGGCCTCAAGGACAGGAGTTATTAGCAGTGGAATGGCAACAGTTTGCTGATAACGCCTTCACCGAACCTACAATCACCAAAACTAAGCAGGAGGGTATTAAATCCAGCCAACCAGAGGCAAGCAAAAAGGCATATACTCCACCACATTTGCGACTCAAGAAGGAAGGAAAAAATCCAGAGAAATTGATACAGCCTCTTTGTACAATACCAGGACTACCACCAGGTAATCAAAGAAAATTTTGGCAAAAGCAGTATGATCTGAAATACCCGCCTCTGCGGTCAGGTTCCTCGGGCAATGCAGAAAACATTCATGACGCTTGGAACTCTCATCAAAACTATTGCAAAAATCGATACCTACCATACAGTAGCCAAAAAAGGCACTGAGTTTTTAGGCTCGAAACTTTTTAAAATAAATTTTTTTGAGTTACAAAAATATAAATATATATTTGTTTGTGTCATTCAAGGCTATTCTTCCTCCCAAACCAACAACAATAAAAGCGACAGAAGATCGGGCGGTCAAAAATCGCAACAAAATCAAAGAGGCAATAAATCTAAAACTAAAAAAGTCGATCAAAACAATGATATAAATAGTGCTAATAACATAGGAGTCAGCGCTTCTGTACTCTCAACCAAGGCCCATAATTCGAGCGGTGATACACTGGGAAGATCAGTAGTTGATAATGAAGCCAACGCCAACAGTGGTACAGGCAATGGAGGTGAACAAAAGCGCAACCCTAACCAACGCCGTCAACAACCACAGCAGAAGCAACAAAAAAGACAGCCCCAAAGGCGCCCTCTTCCAATAGCAGAGTATAATTCCAATCTAGTTGTTACCAATAACAACACGCAGGAGAATCCACAGCCGACGCAAGAGCAAGAAAAATTATCTCAGCAGCATTCGTTACAGACGAATCAATCTTCAAAAAAGGCTACTAATCCAGAGAAAGAAAAAAAAATACGCAATGTTGCCAAAAAATTATCAGATATTAAAAAACTTAAAGCCCGTCAGGAGCAGGGCGAAGTCTTGGAATTAAATCAACTGAACAAAATTTCGATGGAGGCAAAGTTTTTAGAAGAACTTAGAGCTTTAAAACTGTCCGCCTAATTTAACTCAAATATTTGGAAATTTCCCAAATAGAAAAACCTTTGTGCACACACATTGCTAATATCTTTCTCGCTTTTAACCCACTCTCCCCCTCATCTATTAGTCTCTCTTATTGTCTACTTCAGTGTAAATCATGTTTTGTTTCTGTACTGCGGGCATGTAATTATGGTCCATGTCTACCAAAAACGAAATGAATCAATTTTTTTCGACTTTTTTAATGAGAATGTATTTTTATTTTTTTATTTCAAAATAACAAATTCTAAAAATCTTATTAAACGAATAACTTTTTTTTCGTTTCTACATATTTTTATTAATTTCTTAAACGCTCACCAAAACGCCATCTAAAGATTCAATTGTAAGTCAAAGAAAAATGACAACCATTGCTAAGGCAATAACAAAAATGAATAAAAAATCATATTTACTTTTTGGTACAGTTTGAGATTGAATTGTTATACACATTTTTGCCAAATTGAAAGTAAGAATAGGAAACGAAAAATTGAACTTGAATATTTCTTCGCGCAATAATATATATGAAGTTCATTACGTAGAATATATGAAAAGTCGAACGGGTTGATAAATATGTAGTATTGTGTGTTTTCATACAATGTTTTTTATACTGCAATCTTTGTTTTTCTCTTACTTATTAAGAGGTAGTTATTTACAGACAATACTTTTTCATTTATAGTAAAAGCATAATTAAGTATCCCATTTGGATTGTTTTTTGGTAAACACTTCATGTCCATCCTCTTGCATTGCCGCATAGTAGCCCATATCTTCATATTTTGACCTCATGTAGGTTATGTACCCCATTACACCAGTTATGCAAGCCAAACCAATGCACATAATGATTTTATTCTGCCAATAATTGAAACGTCAATTAGTTGGACGGGCGGAATATTTCTATTTCTTACCGGCTTGGCGTACAGTTCAAAATTTAGCACGCGAAATACGTTTGTGGTTTTTACTTGTCGTATGCCACTGCCTGGACTGTATGCAGCAGTCTGCTGTTTCACTGCATTATCTTTTTTATGCATATTGATTGTCAATCTCTCTAATATGTTTTTTTTTTTTAAATTATTTTATTAAAGATTTTTTCATGAAAATCGGCTTATTGTTAAGAAAATGTTAATTGGAACACTTACTAACATTAAAGTGCAACCAGGTTTTCAATGATAATTTATGTAAACATACTATATAATATAATATAATAATATATAATGTTGATAGGACAGCCCTGTATTCAATATGTATTTTACACAGTTGCTCTTTTTCTCATAGCGAACGAGATTATTAAATTTTTTAATGTTTAAAGCGTACACAACGACTGCTTTTACATCGTTCAGTCGTGCTTGTTTATATTTGTTTGTAATTAAACTTGAAGCTTGCTTTGTTTTCCTGCACCCATGTAAAAATAGATGGGAAGATATTAATTTTAGTGCTTGTATTTATATTCACAAGCAAAACAGCGATGCTTTTGTGGTTATATAGCACAGCAATTATAGAAGTTAGCTTCCACAGAGCGCACGCAGCGATTTATATGTTACTGAAAATCCCGCGCGAGCTAATTCTTGCTGCAAATAGTTTAGAGATTTTCTGTTGCTTTTTCATGTGGACAGTGAAGCAGGCGCATCTTCTGTACTGTTGAGAAAACATAAGGTGTTTGTAATATGAAAACTGTAGCTGCAAAAGTGGACTGTACAAGCCACAAATTTGTGGGGTTGGTTCATCTTAATTCAACATCCAAAAAAAAAGTGATGAAAAATGATTTATGTTCATAACCATATTAATTCAACACATCATTGTAACGAAGAAGGAGGACACTTTCGAAAGAGGGAAGATCTAACAATTTTAATGCCGCATAAGTAAATCGATTACAAAACTTTGTCACAAATGCTCTACACTTCCCAAAAAAGTACTAAGAAACGTAAAATAGTTAAAAAACTTCTCCTGCTTCTGATCATCGCTTGATAAATTTAGTAAAGCGAGATTTCCTGAAGTTGTCTAGGGCAGTTTCCAATCAAATTATTCCGAACTGTTCGTAAATAATTATTCGTTGTTAACCTATCACGAAAAATGACTCGAAGAGTTCCTTTGCTTAGAAATGTTAACTTTGAGAAAAGGAAGGGCTAAAGCAAAGCCCATAAAACTTGGTGCGGACGAGACAGCGAAAAAAAGTGAAGACATATACTTTGGAGCAACGAAGCGAAGTCAAATTTGATTGTTAACGGTGCGGGAAGAAACGCACATCAAAGGGAAAAGAATTTTGCATTAGATTTACTAAAAAACCAGCGAAGCATGGCGGAGTAAATTTTATGATATGAGGCCGCTGTTCTTGGAAAGGTGTCGGTGTGATACATCTTCTTTTTTTTTTTTTTTGAAATGTTGAGTTCTGATACGTCTTATAGAGAAATTTCTTTGAAAACTGTAATGCTGTCGTATACCTTAGAATATATAGAAATTTAAGCAGGTTAATGATCCGAACCATTCAAGCAGTTTGGTGAAAACATAGTTTCGGGAACATAATTTGGATGGCATTGTATGTCCAAGTTGGTTTCCTGATCTCAATCCTATTGAGAACCTTTCGGGAGAACTAGAGCATCAAATTTTGTAGCTTTCCTGTGCCAATAAAAAATAATTGTAGAAAAATGCTCAAAAAGCATGGTATAGCATCCCATAAGCGTACTGTTTATTATTTTTCCTAAAATGATCGAAGCTGCCTTTAAAACAATGGCAATTATTGTGGCTATTGATTGTCTGAACTAATTTCCATTAAAGTGGTTCCTTTTAAGTACAAAATATCGCGTTATTTTTGAGTTTTTGTATATATGCCCGTTTCTTCTTCTTTATAAATAAAAAATAAATATAAAGTATAATAGAAGGAAAGTGGGAAAGGATGCGTTTTATCAACATAAAACAACAGCTTTCTCTCCGAACACACGTCGCTCTTGATATCTAGATTATACTTTATTCATTATCTCAATTTCTCTAGTTACAATAGTTTTACTATATTCCTATACATATTTGCTTATCTTTTTACATCGCACCGCCTTTGTTCTTCAGCAATACCGGCACATACGATGACTTTATGTTGTTTATTGCAGTTTAGTTTCAACTATATTTTGTAAATTTAATTATAAAATACAATAAACTATTTTGATTAATTATTATATAAATAAATTTAATTTCGCTGCTCGATGGGCGCCGCTTGCGATGTCGAAGAAGAAGCTGTGTTCATGCTTTTTGTTGCCTGACTAAGTTCAGCTATAATCCCTTTTTTTACCTATTTTATTATTTGTAACCAAATTTTAAGATACGAATAATCTAAATCCGCGAGTCACGTTGTCCGTTTGTACCGTCCTTTTGCCCGTTAATCAACACTCATGGTTACTTTTCTCTGTTCATATGCAAACATACACCTGTAGGATGCTTAGTTTTGTTTGTAACATTGTAATACGCTATCTTAATCTTATTTTCTTAGAACTTTTTTCGCCGGGATTGCCCACAATTTGCAATAAGGAGATTACAGCGATGAGAGTGATGATGACAAAACGGCAACGACAAATTGAAGATGATTGCATAATAGTAGCGTGTGAAGATTGCCACCGCCAATTGAGATTATGAAGAACAACGCAGAAAAGTTTGTTTAGGCGCCCATATACAAGTATATGTTCGCCATTGGTTTCAAAGAGTTCTTCTCAATATTTTTTGGACTTCTTACAAAATTTTCTTCCAATGTCAAGATGTTTGATGAATTGTCTGATTTTTTCTTATCGGTCCATAATAAAGCTATAATAAAAAAATAGATACATAAATTTAAAGTACGTAAATACAAAGAAATCGATTTTACAAACGTATGTATTCATGTATACGATGTTTAACACAAATGAGTTCACATATGGAACACAAAAACAACGTGCAAAATGTACTTTCTTCAAAAGGGGTTGATCGTTTCAATTACTTTTAATTTTGTTTCTTCTTGTCTTACAATTTTTTACATTTTAACTCACGATTTATTTATTTATTTTTTTTTTGGTATGTTAAACAGAGATGGACTAAGCCAATAGATTTGTGGCTTATATGTCCAAATAATAAACTGTTGTAATTTTTAGTCACGATTATGTATAAACCGTAACAAAGAAATAAGAGCGGCCGTAATAACAGGAGTGAGCATGTTAAATGGAATTGTGTGTGTGTGTGTGTGTAAGTGTGCTTGTTGAGTTCTTGGAAGTCAGACAGTGTTGCAAACTTTGGCTGAAAACGGAAAGGAATGTCATGGAAATTGAAAATGATTGAACGCAAAAAAAGAAAAAACCAAAAAAAAAAAAAGGAAAGAGGAGGAAAAAGAAAAATTCTAAAAGGATAAATTGGCTTTTCTAATAAAGCAAGTTAGTTCCCCGAGATGACGTACATTTTTTGCTGCAAAGAGATCGAGGGGACAGCCATATAACTTGAAGAAGCTAAAGGAATCTCTAATACCATCAAGCCTGTGACATCTGAAGATTAGATGCTAAGCAGACTCAACAATATTGCAAACTTCATAAACATCACATGGTATAGCACGAATCACTTTTAAATAAACTTTGTCATAAGTGTGACCACTCATGAGTCTATAAAAAATTTTGATTTCCCATTTCCCATGAATTAAAAGAAAATACAGAAAAGGGTTTTAATTGCAAAACAATTTTCATCTTTCAGAAAAACTTCACTTACAATGCAGAAATCAACGTTGTTTAAGAAAATGCAAAAACGATAGGTTACGTTGGACACTTTGAATATTATATTGTAAAAAGGATATCATGTTGAAACTTGAGAAAGAACCCCAGCGGATTTCCTCGTAGTACTGGATGCTTGAACGGGGCAAGAAATGGCACAGACAGACATTTTTTCTTCAAATTCTTTAATAAGATTATGAGGGATCATCGGACGAATACTTTTTTTAATTCACGAGCATTAATCTTTCAAGTTTTGAGGACCGCAAATAGTTGTTTGCAATTATCAGACGTCGAAGACTTCTTCCAGACGGCTTGGAGGATGCATTGAGAGAAAGCTTGGTGGGTAAACTGACAGGGGATTTGGAAGGAAGCGATTTCCTTTTGACGACGGCATTATATTTATTTATGGTAACCGTAACTACCGCACTTAAAGCACTGCTTTAAAGTGGGTACAAAGTACTCAACCGGCAAATAACAATAATTAAATTTAATTGACTTAGTGAGAGCTCTCCCTTTGAAGCCAATTTTGATGCTGCTTGTGGGAATCCACTCATCTTTGTTGCTGGGATTTTTTCTTTGAAAACGGACAGCGGACTTAATCGGAATATCGAATACGGCGTTTTTAATTATATCATCGACACTGTATGTGCATGGAATGTTTCGAATGACTCCAAATCTCTCAGTGAAAGACCTCGGTATGGCAAGACCTAAAGTCTGGCAACTCTGTCGCGCGGTATAGTCGTATATATTTTATTTCGGCAATTAATATTTTAATTTTTTGTTGAATTTCGTGGCTATTCTGCCTTATAGTGTGAGAAGAAAGTGTGTGAATTCAAAGTGAAAGAAATATTTTTCGTTTACGCTTTGATTCATTTGATTTTTGCAAACAAAAATTTTGAGCTCTGATATAAATCTCTCTTTTTTTTTTTGTTTTCTCTCTTTTTCTCTGTTATTTTTTTGCTGTTTGGAGTTTGTGTTGCTATTGATCTCTCGTTACAGCGTCAACCTAACAGAGAAGTTTTGAGTCTCTCATGAGTCTATAAAGAATTTTGATTTCCCAGGAATTAAAAGAAGAAACAGAGAAGGGTTTGAATTGAAATGTGGGATTTAATTTATAGAAAAGACGATTGGATTTAATGCGCGCGATTACTTTAAATTCGTCGTTTAGCTGTTGAAGGATGTGGTTGCGAATTGGCCGAATTGCTTGATTGGGAGCATATTTGATGGACAAAATTGTCCCATCAACACGAGCTCTCCCTGCATGAAAGTCGGCTTTTACATTTAAAAAAAAGCCGCAGTGGCCAGGTACCCAAACGAGGTGACAGTCATCCACTTGAGATTCGTGCAACGTCTTGTGAATGTCAAACACATATTGATTTTCTGCATCTCTTTTATTTATTAGAAGTAGAGCAGACCTGCTGTTGGAAAAAATAACAAAACGTCTGATACCATCGGAAATAGCAACCATGATAGCATGTCGAATGGCGAGCAACTCAATAAAAGTAGAGGAAAGTTCC